GTAGTTGCATCATCATGGGCTTGTAGGTGTCTGCCAGGCCCCCAGCAAGTGTGCTGGGCTTTAAAGCCAATTTTTTGTAGTGGAATTGCAGTTTCTGGGGTCCATCAGGTAATGTTCTGTGGCCCTAAAAGACTTTTTCCCATAGACAGTGGATACATTTTTTTGAGTGTCACGCCCCCCCGAAATCACTCTTTTACTTTCAAGAACTGAGTCATTCAGTCCAATATTATTTCAGAAGTCTAGAAGAGTGGCACAATTAAATCATTTAATCCCTATTCAAGTTTGCGGAGCACTAAACCAGAAGTTGTTTGGCCAGCAAAAGTTAGACAGTTGGCTGTACTCCAGTGTGTCTCTAGTGTGTCTACTCTATGGGCCGCACAGTGCAGCAGTAGTGCAATCATCTCTGGGTCATCTGGGTAATTTTGTATGCAGCAGTTGAACCATTTTGGCTTCAAGTGCCACTAAGCAACTCTCATAGAAATGAACGGGGCTCTGCATTCAACATTGCATCCAGGTCTCTTGATACATCCATGGTGTCTGCCACTTACAGCAAAGCACCTTGACTGAACGTCATCTAAAGTTTGTATTTGAACAAAAATATCCATGCTTTTCATCAATGTTTGTGCCCATTTTAACATCATATTTCACAGTCCCATTGCATCTCCATGTGCACCGCAGACAGCTAGCATAGTTTCAGCGAACTGAGCTAAATAATACAGTTCCACTGCTGGAAACAAAAACTTATTGGTTGATGCTTCACTCTGTCATTGAGCGCTGAAAAAAAGTTTGAGGCTAACTTTTATTTGTAGTGCTTCATGCCACAGCGATAAGTGTCAGGCATCAGTCTGTAGCCTCGTGTCACCCTCTTTCATTAAAATGGATGTGTAGCCTGTTGCTGTGTTACTCTAGTGTAAACACAGCATTACTCTTATGGGCTAACTTTCATATTTTAGCCTGTAGGTCAACAACAGTAATTTTGCCTCGTTAACAGCACAGATCAAAGTGCCGTTTGTAAGACTGCCTTACTAAACCCAAACAACATGTGCAGCACAGGCACCGTCTTCCCCAGGTAACAACATGGCCTTTCCTCTGGTGTCAGCCTGAGACAAATCATCGTCGTTTTCACTCCACTGGTAGTTACAATCTGAGAAGAATGATTTTTTTTTGTACTATATATTTCATACATTCAACAATTATATTTTGTGGTGTGTAGTAAGGATTACAGCCCTAATGCAAAAAACAAGACAGGACTAAAGCATACAGTTACATGGTTATTCATTCTTCTTTTACATATCTGTCAGGCACAACTACATAATGGTTGTCTAAAGTCAAAGCTGAAGCGGGGACTAAACAATTACAAAGTTCAGATCATACGAACAAATGAGATGAGTTTGAATCTGAAGAAAGGGAGATGTGGGTGAGGTAGATGGATAATCACACAGCTTTAGCTTTCAATAAGCTGCTTTTGTGGAGTGTACTCATTCACAGGATCTATATTAGATTTGAGGACTTTAATGAAAGGATTAAATCAACTTCAAGGCCTTCTGTCAGACGCAAGAAAATTAAAGAATTCACTATCTCGTATAGAAGAACCGGTGAGTCATTTTGCACGTTGAAAATACATTTCCATCTTATACGTAACACGCTTTTTGTGGTGGAAAAGCAGTGGTTGGGGGCTGACATGTGAAGACCCGTGAAATCTCTGAATGGCTCGTACACAACAGATCTTGAGTTATGACTCTTCAACCGCATCCACTTGCGACATTAAGCAGACCGAAACTTGGCTCACAGCGTGAGGATAAGAGACACGGCCTTCACAACTGAAGCACATCATCAGTCAGCGGGTACATTAGGTCAGCCAGTTGATGTTGTTTACATTGACAAAGCCTTGCACTGACATAACCTCGCTGTGGTGCTCCCCGAATCATAAAACAGATGATTAGTCCTCTCCTCATGTGGGTTTATTTACAGCCCTGAGGAAACCACAAGAAGGGCTCAGTACAAAAATATACAGTAAGCACTCCTGAAAACTCAGACGTCAAGGAACTGTGTTGACCCAACAAGGTTCATTTAAAGGTTCTGTACGTAACTTTCAGAAAAACCTTGTTATTAGCAACCTCTCACCCACGAGCAAGCATCTGAGAATCAGCCACAACAGTGACAAACGAGAGAAATAAGTTACAATCATATTTAGTATAATATTAAGTATCTGCTATGTTCCGATATTTCATTTTGATCATTGGCTCCATTACACTAAATAGCTTGCCTTTTGCAAATTACTTACAAAGCAACCACTTACACGTCCATGTAGAGTTAGCAGCTAGATGGCTAGCCTTAGCTCAGGTTACAGTTAGCTTTTTTGCTGCCCCTGCGTTGTTCTTGGCTAATAGAAAGCACATTGTACCGTTACATCATTTATTGTTAGCTAAAACAATATAATTAGTCATAATACACAAGTTAGGATTATGGATCACGTTGGCTGGGGAAATAATTTTGTAAGCTAGCCTACTGAGGTATCCACTCAGATAGTGATTTTTCTAGTGGTGACATTAGCAAGCAAGCTAGCTAAGTTTGCCAGCTAGCTTTAACTTAGCTAAGCTTTACCGATCTGGCGTGGGTTGTTTCATAATATTAGCTGAAAATGTAATTTGCAAACGGTAAGCTGGCTAAGTTACCAGCCAGATCAGCCCTGGAGTCTATGACTTCAATGACATCAATCACTTGATACAGTTTTTTGCTATGCTGGCTAGCCAGAAATTTGTCCACCTTAGCAAGCAAGCTAATGTTAGCTAACATTAGTCTTTTAAAACCACAATATCACAATATATTTGCCTTGTCAGTGTTTCCTATCCACCTTATTTTCAAACACGGAAGTAAATAGTGATCAACTTCCGTTTTTTTGTGCGTGACTTCCGGTCAGCCGCTTTCCCTCATGCTTTCCCTTACCTGAGCTAACGGTGCAAGCTAATTTTTTTTTCAATTTTCAGTTGTTTATGTTAGTCAATAAGTTAGTTAGTTAGTTAGTTAGTCTGTGTATTTTGTATAGATAACTGTGCCCACGTTTCCGTTATAACGGAAATTTATTCCCTCTAAACGCGAATAAATCGCACGTCAATCATAAACTGTGAACCAAAAAAGCACAATCTATCCCGAGTGAGACAAACTGCTTGATCCCCGTCTCCAGTGTACCAGCAGAGAACCTGCAGAACCAAATCAGTGAAAAAACACACCGGGCTAAGCCTCTCTACCTGAGCAGCTGAAACTGTGGCTCGCACCTTCGACGCACAGACGGTGCTTCTGCATACCAGCCAAACGTGTGCGCACCTGTGAGAAATAAATATGTGAGGTGTAATGCTGCTTTTCTATCTTTTTTTTCTTTCTTTCTTTCTTTCTTTCTCTCTGTCAGCAACATACACTCCTAACACAGGACGGGTTGTTTTAATTGACTGAGTTGATCATTAAGCCATAGTGATGTGCGGATCGGCTCTGATAGCACCTGAATCAGCATGTACGCATCAACCATCCAGCTGTTACAACATGATTGAGCTAGCAAAGCAGTTTTGTGTTGCTATGTGTGGTATTTATTCAGTTTTGGGAAATCACGATGTCTAGAAAGCATCAGTGGCTGCAGCTGACAGGGACAGCTAACATTAACACTAGCAGCAAAGCTAACACCAGGATCGTCATCCGTTAAAAGCCTCCCGATGTCGGATACGACATGAAACTACTCCAATTAGCTCAATCACGTTGTAACTAAGACATCCGCTGGAGAAAATATTTTTTTCATGGGCCACTTTGTGAGTTTAATGAGTTATTACAGACATGGCTAACGGCTAACAGCTAACGGTTAGCCCAGCTAATCTACGATAACCATGTTATTAATTACACACAGAGAAAATACTAATGTTTGTTCAGTCATTGTGTTTATAGACTTTACAAACACCAGATTAGTCTAAACGGTGATATAGTGACGTGAAAAATGTGATATATACATATATATATATAGCTAAACTCAGCAAGGTAAACAACAAGGTGATTCCCATTTACACAGTGGTAAGAGTGCTGGACCAGAAGTGTCGCACAAAAAACACGGAAGCAGGCTGCGTTCTGTTTTGCCTCCGTGTTTCCGTGAAAAATAAGGTGGATAACGTTAAGATTTCTTTTCAGGACGGAGGGGCGCTGAAATCATGGTATGGGGCACTTAGTTGATGGATTTACTGTTGGAGAAAAACTGAGACAAGAGTTAGCAAGCTAGCATAGATGATGTATTTTGGACCAGTAGTTTTTGGGAAAAGTGGGCAAAAGTAATGCCTCCTCCTTGGATTCATAACGGTGTTCCATACAGGTGATCAACGGTGCTCCATACAGAGTGCGTGTACATGATATCTACGGAGAAATTGTCACAAAATGCATGAAATATTATCTGACTATTTGTTTTCTAAGCATAATTAATTATGTGTAAAGCCTGTGAAATACTCTCATGGTTGCTTGCAGGATGACGTGCAATACAACGTCTGCTTTGACAGACTGACAGGTGGTAATATATTTTTGGTAACTTGTGATAACATAATAATCATTTCATGAAAACTACATTTCATTTAAACTACAGTACTGTGAGAAGCCTAAATTAAGCCGAAATGGATGCTGTTGCTGCTCTAGTCGTCTCCCATCTCAAACTTGATGGTAGTATCCCCTCCCTCCATTCTCAAGCGCTGCAGGCGCACCTGGCATGGTCTGCTGCTTGGTCGGAAATAAGGCGAGGGAACTAACGATGAAGCACATATACATTTTATTCATGGCCCGTAGATATTTATCCAGCTATCTGCAAAAAAAGGTCATCTATGAAACATAGTTACAGCCTACATCCAAGGAACAAGGCAACATAACTAGATCTTCATTGGGAAAAGCAAAACCACCACTAAAGTACAAAAGAGAAAACAGACATGTAGCTACTCATTAGAGTAAAAAAAGAAATCCAGCAGAGAGGAATTATGACTCACCTTGCTGGCTCCGGGCAGTAGGTGCAACTTGACGTAGGGGTCAGAAAGCCCATTGTGGTCCATCGGCTTAAGCCCCTGTGAATGAAACACAGGAAGAACAGCTCGAGTTGCTTGTGTCATTTTGATTCTTTGCATCAAAATAGGATTTTTCAAAGTTTGGGTGGTAGACTTAGTTGACCATGCGAACACAGTCTTCCTCTCTCATTACTTCAACCACCTTCTGGGGGAGGTTGGCGTTGTTATATTTGCACATATTCAAAAACCTGTTGATATCCAAGTCTTTCATACTGTTCAGAAGTAGGTGTGTTTCTCTTTCTGAGCAGAAATGTGGGTTTTTCTTTTGGGCGCGCATCTCTATCCAAGCCTCGCAAACTGTTGTAGTCACTGTGGACGAGCCAATACTGGCATGAAAACTGACGCCATTCATTTATTCATCTTCCATAACCGCTTATCCTGTTAGGGGTCGCAGGTGTGCTGGAGTCTATCCTGAGTGACTTTTGCAGGGCTGACACATAGAGACAGACAACCATTCACACTTACATTCACATCTACGGACAATTTAGAGTTACCAATTACCCTATCCTACATGTCTTTGGACTGTAGGAGGAAGCCGGAGCACCTGGAGAAAACCCATGCTGACACGGGGAGAACATGCAAACTCCACACAGAACCCAGATAGCACACATACAACTGGCCGACATCGGCCTGAGGACAACACATCGGCCCTGAATTTATAACGTCTGACAAGCGTCGGCTGCATGGGCGGATATCTTTAAATTTAATACTCTTTTGTCCCAGCTCATCAAACGTCTCTGTTACATTGGCTTTGGGTCGGCCCAGTGCCGTTGAATGTCTGCCCACATACGGAAGTCGCCACTGAAGGCAGAATTTCATCTCCGCGGTGTTTGTTTGCCTGACCTCCGGGGCCCTGGACGTGTGCTGGGAGAGGAGCGCGGAGGTAAGACGGGGCAGGCCGACACTGTGTATCCCAGAACGGGTGCTCAAGTGTTGGTGAGACCAGTGGAGAGGAGCTGAGCGGAGAGGAGCGCGGAGGTAAGGCGGGGCGGGCCGACACTTTGTATCCCAGAACGGGTGCTCAAGTGTTGGTGAGACCAGTGGAGAGGAGCGGAGCGGAGAGGAGCGCGGAGGTAAGGCGGGGCGGGCCGACACTGTGTATCCCAGAACGGGTGCTCAAGTGTCGGTGAGACCAGCAGAGAGGAGCGCGGAGGTGAAACAGTTAAGTTTAAGGATGCCTTCGGTATGTTGTTGATGTGATTTTATGGGCAATTTATCAGTTGAGGTCTCCTCCTCTGCAAAGCAAACTGACCCGGTGGCTACAGGTAATAGCGCAGTTTTAAAACCACTGTTTTTCCAAGATGAAGGACTGATTGTTGAACTGCTGTTAACGGTTAACGAAGTTAACGCCGGATCCCGTTATTTAACAGTTTCAACACTAAATTAAGCAGAGTGACGGACCTAAAGCCTTAAAGCTGGCTAAAAGACAGCTGAAATGCTAAAAAAAAACACACAACACAGTGGTGAAGTTGGGATTTGTTTCTTGAAGTTACGTGGTCATCGTCTTTTCTGTCTCTTGCAGGCTGCCAGGAGAAGCGGACTGGCCATCAGATATTTTTTGTGGAAATTTGAAAATAAAGTTTGTCAAATTGACTTTTGTCTCTTCATTGTGCACACTTACACACAAAATAGGGTAACGGTCAGCTATTTTTGAATGTTAGCATTGATTTCTCACATTGAATAGTGAAATATTTGTAGTTTGAAAGGTCCAACCTAAATGAATAAAGGTCGTAGTTACCGAAGCATATGAATATTAATGAAGGAGCGCCCACTGAGCGCAGCTTTTTTTAGTGATCGTTTGAACGTTGCGTGGTGGTCATTTTTGATTTAAAGGCTGACGTCTCAGCGACGTCTTGGCAATGAGCAAACACTCTCCCTGCTACGTCTTAACGATCTAAACTTGATACATCGGGCCGACGTCGGCCAGATGTATGTGTGCTATCTGGGAAGGGAACCAGGAGGCGACAATGCTAACCACCGCACCACCATGCAGACGTGGAAACTGACGTGTCTTTAACTGAAGCTAGAGGAGTTTGGATCGTTAGGTAAGTTTGAAGCGTAGGGCAACTGATTAAGCTGCAGTTGACAGTCTGGAGTGAGAACGTGTTGGATCTGGATATGACCCTAATTTTGTCTAACAAAGTGTAAAAAAAAAAAAAAAAGGTGACATCTATTAAAACTGTCAGGAGTGTGCAAACGTCTTGCTGTCTTTTCAGTTTTCCTCAGCACCTTAATTCCTTTATTTAACACTCTACTTTTTTCTGTCCTGTATGGATCATTACATCCAATCTTTGTCTCTGGGGTGTGAGACATTCAGTACAGTTTCACCTCAGCTGGAAAGACCCTCCACATCACTCTGAGAAACACTGAAGTGAATAGGGGAACTGCCTAAAAAGAAAGAGGTCTTACCAATGAGACTTAAAGAGGAAGTAAAGTTCACTCGTATAGAGTCCAAATGAAGCAACACCATGTGGGTGCCCACTGAGAAAAGTAAAAGGACCTGAAGAGTTTCCAGAGTGAAATGTGGAGTAAATAAACAGAAGAATCTGAAACCTCAGTGAAAATATCTACAGCACAGGGAGCACTTATACAGTAGATTTGGTTTGCTTCTCTCCAACCTCATATGGTGTTGAGATTATTTAGGTTGCCAGCTCAATTTGAGCTAAAAGCTTAAATTGGATCGGAGTCCAAGAAGACACCGCCAAGGATAGTTCTGTCCATTATCATATCATCGCTGTCAAGTGACAGCACAAATGTCAACTTTCATCAGTGTTGCTTTTAGCTTTATGAAAATTAAATTTTTGACACTCCTGTACCTGTACATGCAAGGTTTTTTTTTTGTAAACCCAAGAGATTGGATAATTTGTGTGATCCTCTGTAAGATTGCTGGAGTTTTAACATAATACTTGTGATACGTGTGTATTATACACACCAATACAACCATCAAAATGTCTTGCATGATTATTAACCATAAATTAAATTAGAGTTAATGCGCCAATCAAAATGGCTAAAGTAAGACAAGTTGATGCAAAGAACTTAAAGGTCCAGTGTGTAGGGTTTAGGGGCTATATTGGCAGAAATAGAATACCATATAGTAGGTGGGTTTTCTTTTATGTATTCACTTGACAGTAAGAGTTGCTGTGTTTTCGTTACCTTAGAATGAACAGTTTATATCTGCACAGGGAGCAGATCCTTGTCAGCAGAGTCCGCCATGTTACATTGCCATGTTACAGTACTTCTGAATGGACAAACCAAACACTGGGTCTATCCATCCATCCATTTTCAACCACTTATCCGAAGCCGGGTGGCCGGGGCAGCAGGTTGAGCAAAGTGCACCCCTCTCCCCAGCTATACCTTCAAGATCCTTTTGGGGGATCCCGAGGCATTCCCAGGCCAGATGAGTGGCCAGTGGGATGTGCCCGAAGCACCTCAGCTGACCCCTTTTGACGCAAAGGAGGAGCGGCTCTACTCCGAGCTCCCTTCAGATGTCCGAGCTCCTCACCCTATCTCTAAGTCTGAGCCCAGCCACCCTACTGAGGAAACTCATTTCGGCTGCTTGTATCCGCAATCTCATTTTTACGGTCACTACCCAGAGCTCATGACCATAGGTGAGGGTTGGGACGTAGATAGACCAGTAAATTGAAAGCTTTGCCTTCCAGCTCAGCTCCCTCTTCACCACAATGGTCCGGCACAGTGCTCGCATCACTGTAGATGCCTCACCAAACCGTCGATCCATCTCACACTCCATTCTACCCTCGACCTCGAGATACTTGAACTCCTTCGCTTGGGGCAGTTACTCACTCCCAACTCAATCCACCATTTTCAGACAGAGAATCATGGCCTCAGATTTGGAGGTGCTGACTCTCATCCCGACTGCTTCACACTCGGCTGCAAACTGCCCCAGTGCATGCTGGAGGTAAAACGCTGGGGCTAGATAGGACTATTAGCGTCTTAGTGTCAGCCGCTGTAGTCAGCAGTCTGCAAAGATTTTTTAATGTGACACTGTGACACAAGTCTTTTTAGCACCTGGTCTGTTTGTTTTGGAGAGGAAGAGACCTCTGAAGATAATTTGGCTCCTGGTAAAAACCTCCACAACAATGAACACTGAAGGAATTCTAGCCATGATAGGTTTCAGCTGGTTGCAGACTGCAATCCTCACCACTAGATGCCACTAAATCCTCCTTAACCTTACACACTATACCTTTAAAATCAGTTAAACTGTAGTATCAAGGTTTTAACATAAAACTTATATGTGTGTATTCTACACATTTATATAACTATCTGGTAGACTTATTCAACCATGCCTTATATGATTATTAACCATAATTTAAATCAGAGTTGATCTTACAATATGAAAAAAGTGAGCCTGGTTGATGCACAAGATCTTAAGGGAGGACAGAAAATCTATTTGGAGTCTATTTGGCAAATAAAACAAAAAAAACCCAGCAAGAACTAGAAGGGCACTTTGAGACAGCAGACGTCCGCCAAGACTAAATGACCTATCTTGCAATATTAATGAAAGTGAAAAATAATTTGTGTATATGCCCTGTCATTCGGAGCCGGTCCAAAATTAAATGGGTTCCTCCTTGGCCCATGCCATACCCTTCTACCAAATTTTATGAAAATGGCTCGTATTTTTTTCTGTAATCCTGCTGATAGACATACAAAAGGAACCAAAAACTTGGCAGAGGTGAAGTAATCACAATGTGTCCAGAATGATTAAATCAAACGTTCTTCCTGTTGGTCATTAAAGCAGTACTCCAGCCATTTTCCCCCATAAAACTGGGGGACACACAGGCTCAAAATCAGGGCAGCAGAGACCTTCTGGGGTCCGCTCATAATTCTGACATCCCATTATTCCGACATCCCATTGTTCCGAAATCTCAGTATTTCTACATCCCATTGTTCCGACCATATTAAACCCACTGTTACGAAGTCCTGTTGTTCTGAAATCTAATTTTTCATTGTTACAAAATAATTGTTTCATAGTCAAGGTCTGG